TGCTAAATGATATGGTTGGGTGTCGTAAACAGTGGCGTTCGTCCATCTTGTCGATTTCTCTGCAAAATTAGTGCAATGAGATCCTAAATTTTCTTTTGGATCCTGCTTTCAACGTTTCCTGTCTTTCTCCTCATGTTCATCCAAATGGGCAGCCAAAAGACAGCAACTAATACCGGCGCACGATAGTGAATGATTAATAGTTGTATAAACCGAAACTGAAACTTCCTGCCTCGGCAAACATCGCTCGCCGTGGTAACCAACTTGGTGACATGCGCAACACATGTACCGACCAGCGTAGTGTATGGAGGTCGACCACTTGTTTCAGTAGACGACCAAGAACACTTAAAACTCCGTCTAACCTCAACATCGCTTGTCCAGACTAGTGCAATGTGGCGTAGACAGCGGTGTTCAAACTCCAGTGGTGATGCGTCCACCGGATAAGAGAGCGTTTGAGACATTTACGCGCTTTGTCGTATTTGGCATCAGAAGAAATAGCTTTGCTAACTTACAGCAGGGAAGCAAAGATCCCTCATTTTTTTGATCGTGCGCTCGAATCTATACGTTGTTTTGATTGACATTTGGATCGTTTCCTTGATTAACGTCTAGTGTTCACTGAGTCCTTCGGCTGATTGTTGAACTGAAACCCAATCAGAGAGCTCCGCCTCGATGGCCAATTTGCAATTATCGCTGATGGACATCAGTTTCTGGTGGCTTTTCTGTAGTTGTTTGCCAGATGTAGGCAGAATCTGGCTGTTAACAGAGCATGGTCTGTGTCCACGGTTGTTGATCAGTAAGGGCGGCAGTCTTGAATGGATCCTGGCCAGCGGTAGCTGATGGTGGTGTGGTTGATTTGAGTCCTGCTCTGCGAAGAGGTTGACGGTTTCCATGTAAGGTGGTATTTGTATTCGTATAACTTTTACAAGCTGAGATATGCTTACATTTCAGTGGTGTCCTTTCTTGTGCGAGAAGTTGGTGCTTGTCAGGAACGGTCGTTGGTCAGCATAGAGTTGAAATGGGCGTTCTCCGTTGTCCTTTCGGTTAGCTGGGATTTCATGTGAATAACCAAAAAAACCTTTCTGATTCGTCCAGGGATCCCACTTGAGCATTGGAGTTTCCAGTGACCACCACGATGTCCGTTGATCGAGCACTTTGGAACAGTGAAAAGAGGTTCTTGTACAACTCATTTCTAGCGAACTGCAATACGTGGATACGACGAATAAGCATTGACGCTTTGTCCTGTTGCTGTTGACTCGTACAGAGCCATCCAGACGTACAGCGCAAAGTCGGTTACTAACCGGGATCCAGTCGAGAAGTGAACGCTCGGCCTAAACACTTAGTGCAACATCGCGAGCTTCGGATGCCGAATGGCCTCACACACGGAGAGTGAAGCGTGACGGTGCTGTGGGATCTGGAGGCGATGATTAAAGTAGGGTATTGTATGCGTGTTTCGGAGACACAGCGTACATCTAATTTGAAAGTTTCGGGGTTTCTAGCTGAAGCAGCTTCTTGACCTATCTGATAGAGTATGCGAACTAAATGAAAAGGAGATTTTGCTTTCAAAAATCTAATAGCTCCATGGTGGTTGGCCTCATTAATTGAACGCTGGTTGATATTCGATTGGTGGTACCAACAGGAAGTATCTAAGATTTGGGAGTAGGAGAAAGAACTGGACA